TTTTGTTTATGTTTAGCTCCCCGGAAAACAAAATTATAACAAAATGAATTGATATTGGTTTTATATATATATGTTAACCATAAAGCAAAGTTTATTTGTCGAATGTTGTAACATGACCAAGTTGGAAAAACAATATTCAACATTGTCCACATTTAAATAGTTCTTAGTCCATCAATTTTAAATGCATGGGATCTCGAAAAGTATGTATTACTGTTTTTTTCTAAAATCATTAAACGTTTTATTAAAAGAGGTTATGGCCCTACTATTTTAAGACACACTGCATGCTTAGTGTTCAACCCTTTTACAGTTGGACACTACGCTTTCCTCTTTTGATTACATCTGACGGACAAAGTGGGAGATTATATGATGGACAATTCTTAAAGCCTTTTTGGGACTGAATTGTCTTAATATTCGTCTTCTGCCTTGCTTCGTCGGGCCCTTGTAGGTGATTTTCTTGTTGCTCTGTCTTCCTTTAGGACATTCAGTACTTTTGTTATGGTCATTGGGTTTACTTTTATATGTTTCTACATGATCGTTTTGGTGTTTTACTTATTTAACCTTTTGTAACCATAACAACTGTTAGAATTTCACTTAGAGGGGATTCATTTTATTTACACTGTCTCGTTTATAGGAACATGGTGGGGCTAAGAGTGAGGTTTGGTGCACCATTAACCGGTTTAAACTCCCAACCAATACTTGTGCTGCTGACCGTTCCAATGCGGCGCCCCTTTGTGTTTCTCAGATGTATGTCTATGTTGTTTCATACTGTTTTGGTGACACTTTGTTGTTTTCTTGTCTACGTTAAGTATCTTCCCCTTTGTCACTTGTTTTTTATTTTTTGATTTACCCCACCCCCCCCCCCCCCTTCCCCCGGTCATCTGTCCCCTTCCCCTGTGCCCTTTGACTTTGTGGGCTTATTATTCAATCCTTTATTTGTTTTCTTTGTATTCCTTATCAGTTACAAATTATTTCCTATTTTTCAATCATTTATTTGTTTTCTTTGAATTCCTTATCAGTTACAAATTATTTATCATTTTAGTGATTAACCTGTCCGTGCTCTGTCTTGTGCCCTGTCCTGTTTTTGTTTGGGGTCCGCCTGGGCTCCTTGCCACTGGTTCTTGTTGCTGGGTCGTAAGGGGGTTGCGTTCATTGAACGCCGCCTTTCCTTGTTGATCTTGTTTATCATATTTTACGAAGATCAAGGTTACATAATATTATTAGTTCCATAAGAATTACATCTGACTGGGTTGTTCAAAACATTGGTTAAAATTAACCAATGGATAGCTTATCCACTGGTTAAATCCTTAACCAGCGGCCAGCTATCCAGTGGATAAAATTTCATTGTTGGACAGTTGGATAGTACCCAGGCTACCTAACCAGTGGATAGCATATTTATCCACTGGTAAAGTACCACAATGCAACAGGGTTGGTTAGCGATTCTTGAAACAAAATGGACGATTTTTTTTATGATAGAAATAAAAAAATTATAAGAATCAAAAAGCTCCCAAAGAAATAATTTTGCATGTTTTGTGCTTTCTTATTTTTTGGAATTAAACATAAAGTATATCAGAGGCCTTAAAGTATTGATAGATTTATTTTTCCCTAAGACACATAAATTTTGAATGAAATTACTTTCATTAGATGGGTTATGTTCTAACTAAGAAAATGAGCACTGACACTTGTATTTTTATTAAAGAATAATAAAGTTATGACTGTTTAACTGAATTTTTCTGAGCTACAACAACAACAAAATAAGTTTGAAAAATGGTTCAAAAAGCACCTTTTCAGAAATGTTACAATTTGATCCTATGCATTTCATATGAAATGTTCTAGTTAAGAAAAATTAAACATATATTTGTAAGAAAAATCTGGTTTAAAACAAGTTTTAATGATTTTTACTGTTTTAATGATGATGACTAACCACTGGTCATAGGACTGGTTAAAGTTAACCACTGGATCCGTTGGATAAGTTTTGAGCAACAGAATTTATCCAACAGACAAAATTTAACCAGCGGATGATGATTTTAACCACTGGTTAACACTAACCAATGTTTTTAACAACCGGATCCCTGAAGCTCAAATATATGGCAAGTTAACTGAACATTTTTCTTTAAAACAACTTTACAAGTTAACTCTTAAGACAATGAAATAAAAAGATGGACGTCCAGGAATATATCGATTAGTTTGTTTTCTATCCTGCCTTTATCTATGCACCTGGGACTTTGCATGTGGATTCGGTGCATAGAAAAACCGGAAAGCACCGGATAGCACCGAAATACCGGAAAGCACTCAAATTTCTCATAAAAACATATGAAAACGTTAATTAATCGGTTTGAAAGTGTTACTAATCGATTTATTAGATCAAAATCTTTCAGACAAGTCATTTTTATATAATATATATTGATAATTATTACGAGTATTTAGGAAAATAGATATATCGAGTGCTTTCCGGTCCTGTTAAGATACATGTACATTGCCGGATAGCAATATTGTTTATCAAAGTTATACATGAAAACATTATTTTATTGGTTTGAAAGTGTTACCAATCGATTTATTATATCAAAATCTTTCAGACAACACGTTTTTGTAATTATATTATGATTATTTTTACGATTATTTAGGAAAATAAGATATATCGAGTGCTTTCCGGTCCTGCTAAGGTACATATGTACTTTACCGAATAGCAATATAGTTTATCAAAGTAATGCATGAAAACTTTATTTTATTGGTTTGAAAGTGTTACCAATCGATTTATTAGATCAAAATCTTTCAGACAACATGTTTTTATAAATATATTATGATAATTATTACGAGTATTTAGGAAAACTGATATATCGAGTGCTTTCCGGTCCTGCTAAGATACATGTACATTACCGAATAGCAATATTGTTTATCCAATTAATACATGAAAACTTTATTTTATTGGTTTGAAAGTGTTACCAATCGATTTAGTAGATGAAGATCTGTATATCATGACGTTTTTATAAATATTTTATGTTTCATTACGCGATTTTCAAAGTTGTTACAAAGTTGTATTGATTGCTTTCCGGTCCTGCTAAAGTACATCTACTTTACCGAATAGCACTCGAATATTTATTTAAATCACACTTATCCTTCATATTAATTATGTGAAAGTGTTACAAATTGATTTATTAAGTTGAACTTATTTCATTTATAAATATTATGATTAGTTACACGATTTTTCAATCTTGCTCATACCATATATATCAATTAATGTATCATATTTCTAATATTTTATAGGTTGTGTGAAGGACAGAAAGAGGATGTGTAAAAAGTACCAATAAGTTATTCAAAGCATTGAACCATATTGTTTATTATTATATTTTTATATTATGTAAAATAAAGAAAAACTTATAAATTTTCGTTCAGTTATGTCTTTATTTTTACCATACTTTGTGTACCGAAAAGCAATGTGGTCATCAGTGGTCTCATTGCATTCTTCTTGCCTCAAAAGTACCTCCGAGGAAGATACACTCGGAGGTTACAATAATTTATCTCTGTCTGGGCTTTTATTGATAGATGATTCACCCATTCAGAGTATACCCAGGGAAGCACATCTTGTGAATAAATCTATTCAAACAGTGTCCCCGCCAAAAGAGGTTAAATTTATAGACTTGCAGGTAAACAAGGTCATGAAAAAGTCTATTGAATTTGAAAAATTAATAAGTCTAGTTAAAGAACTGATAACCATTAAAAGTAAGCCTGCCAAAAATTATCTTGATGGATATATCAGGAATTTTCTATCAAATAAACTAGACTTAGGCCCCAATAGTAACAAGTGTGATACCCAGGGTATAAAAGTGAGAGTGCATAGATCTCTTACCTCCCGGGGCGCAAACATGATAGGTGGGGGTTACAAACCCCCTGTCACCCCCGGCAAACTTAAAAGATGTAGAAAATCAATTAATGAAATGGTGAAAACACGTTTTTCTAAATTAATAAATGACCTCTCATGTCGTTGTTGGTACGTTGGTCCGGTTCTGATTTCAGCTTGCCATATAAGTAAACAAAAGATCCAGGTCGTCTATCCGGGGGTGGCAGGAGGAATGTAACTAATTTATGTAATTAATTAACTATTAATTTGTATAGGTTGTAATGGATGCACGTATTTGTCATTTTGGACATTTATAACCTTTAATGATCTTGTTCTCTATCTACTAAGTATTTAGTTTTGCTGCTGGTTAACATCTATCCTTCGCCTTTATCGGGAGGGAGTTTTACTTTCAGTGGGATGGTTAGACTCACTGGGTAAAATGTGGTATACAATATCCTGTGAGGTTGCCAGTAGAATTTCTATTACTGCTATGATTGAGATAATATTTACTTATTAACCAAGTTGTTTTTCGAATCCTCATTTCGCGGACGGACGCGGACGGTGTTGCAAATCTACACTTAACTCTTTTAGTTTTAAATGTTGTCTAGGCATGTAGACTTATACTTTTAATTGTAAATATGTATATTACATAGTCTTAATATTTATATATTTTAACTGTGGCCCTAGGAAGTGGCCGTGAAACGGAAGTACAATGTGATATTATAAATTTTAATCAATTTATCTTAATTGGGTCTACATGCCAGATATTGTTTTAAAAATGTAAATCAAGTGGTCGAACAAAATTGGGAAGGAAGGCTACCGTTACCCTTAATGTTAAAAGACTCCATATAGTGTAAATATCCTTATTCCCCCGCCCTGTGTTTATTTTTACTTCTTCTCTTTGTCCTGTATATAAAACATAAAAGTGTATGTGTTCCCCCATATGTGGATTTATTTATAAATCAGAATGTAACACAGGCAATACTGCAAAAACTAAGAAATTACATGCGGAAGCCACTACATTGACTCAAATTTAGGATACCGCAGTTCATCATATCGTAAAACAAATACTATAGTAATTGTTTAAATTTGATATTAAATCTTTTTCTTTTTTCACCGTTATAAATTATTTTCGTGCAAAATTAAACAATTCGTGAATTGTAGTGTTTCCCATCATTTCGCGAAAAAAGAATGGGAGCGTTTTTAACCGGATGTAGTTTTATTTTCACTAGGCAACAAGATAATACATAACACTCTAGATGTGAAGAAGGGGAAATAAAAAAATAGGTAAAACTTTTTCTTTCTTGTTAAATACACAATCATGGTAAATTATTTTTATATAAATTTGCATATAGAATCTATTTTATAGACCTAGTCAAAGAAACGATTTTACAAATCATGCAAATTGTTGCGCGGAGTCCAAATTATATTTAAACCGCGTATTTGAATTCCTATGGGTACTAATTGTGCACCCCTGGTCGCCAATTTATTTTATATATCTATGAAAAGAGATTTTATGTTGAGTCTCTCTGAAAATACACAACAAGATGTTTATATAGCATTCAATTACACTTCCAGATACCTTTGATGAAATTTTTAATTTAGATAATTCTTATTTTTGATCAAAATGGTGACTAATATTCATCCTACTGAGCTACAGCTTTATAAAACAAATTCTTGAAATTTAACTACATCATTTTTGGATCTTCATATCACTATCAAAAACAATTATATTCACACCAAAGTCTATGATAAAAGAGATGACTTTGATTTTGATATAGTAAATTATCCGATTTACAGTCAAATTGGCCCCAAGTCGAATCTCCCCCAAAATAGTCAAATTGGCATCAAATGAAATCGGCCTGAAGTCAAAACAGCCCCATTTTTTCCTTTATTAATTTTTTCATTTTTTTTATGTAATGTTGCAAGCATATTGATAAAAACCAATTGTGTGGATGGGTATACGCGTACGGTCACTATACCTAATGAAAACGAAGGATTACAAAGAAAAAAGAACAAAACATATGATAATCAATCTATTTATTGTCTGAGTATAACAATTTTTACATTTATCTTCAATGTACCATAAACATATGAAACAGTAAACATGTAACTGTATGAGGCACATGAGCGTTTTTCATACGAATTATTGTCATTTCTTATCTCTGTTACTCTGCTTCTTGTCCCAACACCCCTGGTTGGTATATAAGCTTGAAGTCTTTTTCAACAGTGCCGTTGCTTAAGAAATAACATCGGCCTGAGAGGTGTATATCGGCTATTTAACAGCGGTTTGGAGTTTTGATGCGTAGGAATTGACCACGAAGGCCGCAGTGTTGTTTTTTTTCTATGGCAAATAATTCACCCTGATAAGTTTGTCAATAAAAGAAACTTACCGGTATTACAATATCCCATATACCATTCTTGTTATCACCATTACATTTATGATAGTAGATCTAATATTCATCATTAAAACTGAACTGATGTAAATTGATAGAATTTGGATAATTATTATGAAAGGCAAAATTTGAAATTTTATGTTATCATGTATTTAGTGTATTTTTTATTACATTTACTCATTACACTATTTCCTACCATTGGTTTCAATAGTTTGTCATTTTCCTACCATTGAAATCAATAGTTAGTATTAGACAAAAAATTCAAACAAATTACTTTAAGTTGATTTATTTTAGAATTTGGATGGGATTTTTTTCTGAGATAGGGGAAAAATACATATGATTTTGAGAGGGAAACGGTACCCATATTCGGCCCCAAAAACAACCAAAGGACTCTTACGGAGTGCATTGGGTCCCCAACCAGTAGCAGTTCTTATCTCTCTTAATCACTCTCAATGACTTTACTGAGGCAAGATCTTTCCAGCTTCCACTGCATTCTTTTGATCTGCAAATACAAAAGAAAAGAAAAAAATAACTATGAATAAACTTCATCTAAAAACCATTGAAAATAAAATAAACAAACTTATCGCGCATGACCATTCACATCTGGGCCGCTTATGTACTTAACGCTGCCTCTTAGCACTAATTGTCGGTAAGGCTCCCACGTTTACAATTTTTTGTAAACGTTTACACGATTGCTAAGAACCGAAATGATACCGTTTAAACAGTGGTAATTCTTTGGCTTTGAAACTTTGCACACTTGTTCACCATCATGACCCAAACCTGTATACAGGAGGAGGTAACTGTATCAAGCATTTTGACATAATTATGCCCCTTTTTCGACATAGAATTTATGTTAAAGTTTTTGTAATACATGTACCTCAAATATTTTCAAAGTCCATTGACATATGGCTTTGAAACTTTGCACACTTGTTCACCATCATGACCCAAACCTGTACACAGGAGGAGGTAACTGTATCAAGCATTTTGACAGAATTATGCCCCTTTTTTGACTAAGAATTTACGTTAAAGTTTTTGTAACACCTTAAATATTTTCAAAGTCCATTGACATATGGCTTTGAAACAAGTTGAAATTTTATAGTCTTATTTGAGAGCATAATAGGACTCTCTCCAAGGCCTATATCTGTAATATGGATTTAAAGAAAATTTTTACCCTTTTCCTTACTTAGAAAATTTTACATTATCAAGGCTTTTTTACTATCAAGCACTAAAAATAGTCGAGCGTTGCTGTCCTACCGACAGCTCTTGTTTACTTCCCATATCAGCAATTTTAGCAATAATTTCCCCCAAAATCAAGAGGCTAAGGCCTCTTCCCAATTAAGTGAGAAAAATCACTGATAATGACATGTCAGATTGTCTTAAAGCAAGGCACGAGAACTTTGTGTTACTTTTAGATTAATCAAGGAGACAAGATTACAACTTAAATATGCAATTTAAAATGTATATATAAATAAATAAGATATCACAGCATGGAAAAACTTTCTACACTCCCGGTTAAAGATTTTTTGTTTTTTTTAACAGAAACCTTTAACTGTTGCAGATTGGTTGAATTCTTTATATCTTGTGGTAGTTTACTCCACTGGGAGCAATCATATATCTACTATAAATATGCAGATTGGTTATACTGATAATATTTGAAAAATTCATCTTTTCTTTCAGGCTTGGTAACATCATCAATTAAACATGGCAGCTCTAGCACCACCTAAGCAACCAGGGACATACACATTTGCCAGTCAGCCTCGGGCTGTCCCTCAAAGAAAAAAGTACAGAGACCCTTTAGGACAACAAGATCCGTAAGTCCTAAGATTGAAACATTAAGCATATGTTTATATATAGATTTAATGCATTAATTGTTGATGAAAATTATGAAATATTCATTTTGCACAATGTGTATCGTAACTTTTAGTGTATCACATAAGGCTTTTTTAAGAATATCACCTTCTTATAATATCATCTTAAGGTTAAAAGCATAAAATAATGAAAATCAGCATATAGCGTTGCATTTGTACGTCCGTCTGTACGTATGTCCTTACGTACCGAAATCTTGTGAACGCAACTCCTCTTAAACTGGATGGCAGATTTTGCTTAAACTTCCAGGGATGAACAACCTAAATGTGTAAACAGTAGTAAAGGAAGGAATTTTTGCTGCCACCAAATTTAACAGAATTATGGCCCTTTGTTGATTTTTTCGCTATATACTATGAAGAATTTTGTGAACGCAACTCCTCTTAAACAGGATGGCAGATTTTGCTTAAACTTCCAGGGATGAACAACCTTAATGTGTAGATGATAGTAAAGAAAGGAATTTTTGCTGCGACCAAATTGAACAGAATTATGGCCCTTTGTTAATTTTTAGTTTTCAACTTGTGGCACATGTAGTCCAAAAATATTTTACCTAGAGTCATAAGATTGACAGAACAGTGGCATGTGGGGGCATCCGTGTCCTATGGACACATTTCTAGTTTTATTTTTATGTTATATTTTGTTTTATGTGGATGTAATGTACTACCGGTATGTAGTAAGCAAGTGTGAATCTTATTTGATCTGCTGCTATCAAATTAATTAAAATGAAAAACAAAATTCTAAATTACTAGTAGTTCACTTGAATGATTTCAGTGGATTTTTTTCCAGTCTATTGTGAATGGGTATGAGGCCTTATTTTGAAAATTTCAAAGTAAAAACACTGGGTTCTACATGTACAATGTTTATGAATTAGGCATAGATATTAAAATGTCATAGTTAAAACAATGTCTTTATTTATACTATTTCAGTGAAGCTCACAATGCTCCACAATATGGAAACATTATGTATGATAGACGTATAGTCAGAGGTAATACATATGCTCAACATACACTGCCAGCTGTAAGTACCTTTACTTTAATAACATGCCCAGTTTCTGTTTGTAACACTTCTCTTTTCATTGGATACTAATGTGACTATTTTATCTACTACCAGGAGCAACATGAAATATATCTGTATATGTTTGTTTATGGCAATAGTAGAAATGTAACAGACTGTGTGTAATTAGACTGATGGGATATAAGTCAACTAGAACAATGTTAAGGCTTTGAACAGTATGGATATTAGATTAGTAGTGTAGCATTAGTGTTATGTCTTTACTTTAATCTGTCACATAAGTAATATTGTAAATTTCAGATACTGTAATGTAATTAAGGCTTTCCCTGTCACCAAAGTGAAAAGATTTGTCACAGTAAAAATGAAAATATAATCATACAAATATGTTTGTTGGTTACAGCATGCTCAGCCAGATCCCATTGAAATACAAAGACAGCAAGAGAATAGACGACGTGCCATCGCTAGAAAACGTGCGAAGGAACAGCTCCGACCACGATCTCCCGAGCCTGTAGAAGGGCGTAAACATATAGATGTGCAAACAGAATTATATCTTGAAGAGTTGAGTGACCGTGTAGAAGAAGCGGACGTAGAAATTCAAACTGATGCATTCCTTGACCGACCTCCCTCACCCATGTTTGTTCCTGCGAAGACAGGCAAAGATATTGCAACTCAAATATTGGATGGAGATGTAAGTTAACATGAAAACATTAATAAATTGATATAAGAAATAAATCTGATAAGCTTTGTGATAAAAAAATATAAGGTTTATGTTATTTCTAAAATGGCATATTTTTAAGATTTTGTTTTTTCTTAATATTTATGTAAATACAGCCTTGTTAAATCGTAAAATTAATTATACATTGTTTCCATTCTTCAGCTTTTCGATTTCGATATAGAAGTGAAACCAATTCTAGAAGTTCTTGTTGGTAAAACTGTTGAGCAGTCTTTACTTGAAGTAATGGAAGAGGAAGAACTTGCAAATCTACGTTCTCAACAACGAGCCTTTGAGGAGTTGCGCAATGCCGAGTTTGTGGAACAACAGAGATTAGAAGAACAAGAACGTAGGCATAGAGAAGAAAAGGTAAATTAAAAAGGAAAACCAAATCAGTATTATGTTTATCTCAAGAATTACAAAATGTCGATTGTTCTACTCAGGTGCCCATTCGTGCCTGAAATTTTGCATGAAATGGCACCTGAGGTCTTCCTTCACTAGTAAAGCTGGAACGTCACCATATGACCTATACTGTGTTTGTGTGATGTAAAACCCAATCAAACAAACATATCAGGAATTTTTCAAATACATTTAAGATAGGAGAATTGTTTGAAATCTCCATAGATGTATGTCTTTGTTGTAGGAAGTACAACGGCTGCAAACAATTCATTTCTTATATACAGAATAACTTTTCTAAAAGACTGACGGAGGCCATTACATTATGCATAAATATAAAGTTATAAACTAATTAGAATGTCAGATTGAAGAATATTAGTTGGATGGTATTTTTATAATATATATAAATATTTACGATTTATATGTCCGAGTATATCCATTACAGTCCAATACTATTTAACTTGTTTTTATCAGATTTCACAGCTTCAAACATAATGTGCCCAATATATGACCAGACAAAATTTAAATTGTCTCTATTTTCCACTGATCCATTTAGAATCATAACACTGTCTTTTTGAGTTGTGCTTTTTCATTGCTTGATTCATATAATTGTGCATTATGTGCTTTATCTTGGCATAGAAATAAAATCAAAGTATTTAATGAAATTTAAAAATTTCAGTAAAATATTAACCACATGGAATCATATTTCTACTGTAATAATAGGTGGTGTTATGCCTGAAACAATCTTGAACATTATTTCTGTTCAAGGAATAACTTTGTAAAACTTAGAAGTTGTTTCTACAAGAATCACCTCCCTTTGATAATAAATTTCATATCCTAAGTATGCCTTTATTTTCTCAGTGAATGTTTGTGAGGAACAGACTTACCTACCCTATTAGTACAGTGTGAAACTAGCCTTCACAGTGTTATTGATAACCACTTCTTTTCCTCATGCTGTGAGTTTGGACACAAAAAGGAGTGACTCTGTACAAATGGACCTTTCCGGTTTTACAGTTTTATGTAAATTGGCTAACTTGTTATCCAATAGTTACACTGAGATAATACATAGTCACTGGTTGACCTGGTTTGCACAAAAGAACACGTGCTTATGTTTGTGATACTGTTTGTGAGCAGTTGACCTAGTAATGAATGGAAAAGGTGTGGCTAAATGTTCCGCTACGAAAAACCGGAAAGGTCCATTATAGAAACAGTCAGTTACAATGTATAATGGCTTGATAATTTTTCCAAACAGCCATACATTTGTCTTAAATAGACGGTTGTTCACCTATTGTGCTCAAATTACATATTTTACTCATATAAAGGGTACCTTTTACACATCGTATATAATATGAATGGTTAATTGTTTACAGGAGAGGAGGATGAGACAACAGCGTGATGTGTTAAGAAAGGAGAAAGAGACGGCAGAGAAGATTGCGGCCAGGGCGTTCGCTCAGAGTTACCTTGCAGATCTTGTACCTACGGTGTTTGGAACACTCTCGGACAATGGCTACTTCTATGATCCTGTTGAAAGAGGTAAGTACCGGTATATCTGATAACAACATATGCTTACCATTGATAAAAATAACCATTCCCAAAACACACTCATTTAGATGCTTTTCACCAATTAAAAGTTATATACATTATATTAAATATTAAGCTGCAGTTATCAAAAAAGATTTCTGATCTTAGATTGGGAATTTTTTAGAGAAAAACAACAAAAAATGTCATTAAAGTTTTAGGCTTAATTTAAAAAGCATGCAACTTACAAGTTTACAAGAAAAACATTACCTTATTGTATTCCTTTTGAAATATTTCTTTGCATTTTGATACAGTAATTCCTTTCTCACAAAAAGAAATCATAAATTGTGGCGATACTTGTTGATGAACTTTAATGGAAATGTACTTGTTGCATCATTATTAATAATGCTCTGTCCTAAAAGAATTCAATTTAATTCAATACCTTTATTGCATTAAACATTTAACAATGCTTTTAGCACATACAAATATATACATTGGCAAATGAAAACATATCCAAAAAGAGAAAGAAGCATACAAATTCTTTTAACAAATATAATTTTGTGTCAGTTATAAAACATTAAATACAATAATATCTGTTATTGATTACATTTGCAGATATTGAGCAAGGTTTCTTGCCATGGTTAATGGATCGTGTCACAGAACGACTAGAGAAATCAGAACAAGGACGTATGGTGCTTGACGGTCTTTTGAGAGAAGTGGTCAGCAAACGTAGAGAGTTATACGAGAGATTAGAGCAGTCAAACCAACCAGCTGATGGTGGTGATGATCAAAAACAAGACAGAAAATCTCCACAGGCTGCCCCACAGGTTACCATAGATGCCGCCCCTCCACAACCAGCCCCTGCTTCTACTACAGAGGTAATTTTATATTTAGTTATTTACAAGATTTTCTTAAGAACTGAAAACATACATTTAAACTGTTGTTTTCATATGTAACTGCTTTTTAATTTCCCCATGTTTTGGCAAGTATTATTGATGACTAAATTATGAAGAGAAAATGGCCATATGTCAAACTTGTGTAAGTAGTATAACAACTTTAGCCATTTTGTTCTAACAATATAAGAGCCGAAAATGTGTCATTGTGCAAGGTCATTTATCAATGCTTCTCTTGTTGTACAGAGCAGTGTATATCTTAAGCAGTCAGATGGTTGTATGGTTGTTGTGGAGAAAAGTTGCTCTATAGAAATACTTGTATGGGTTATTATAGGGACAACTTAAAAAGCTGAAATATTTTTCATACTGTTGATGCGATATTGTCATTCCTTATGATGGCATCATTTTGGCATTTAAATGTAGTTCAAAATTCCTATGCTTCCATAAGAAAACATGCTATATGAAAATATTAGTTTTCGTAATTTTTTTGTTGAAATATAATTAGTATGTAATATTCAAGAAAAAGAATCAAACACCGGTTGTTGCGGCAGACAATATCTAGTTCTAGGATAACTGTTTACTCTAAACTTGGCAGGGCTTTGTTGCCGCCAAGAACTGTTGCCATGGAGCCAGAAATTCTGGTAGATGTACCGGCAGCAGATATAGGATCCATATTATATGACATCATATACCTATATATATATTTCAGTGACCTTATTTTCACTGGTAAATAGATTATAATGTATAATAAATGATGACATTTTACAGGCTGAAGAAGAAAAGCCAGCAGAACAAGCCAAAGATGAAGACGATGAACCTCAACAACAAGGAGAGGAAGATGGAGGTGGAGAAGATTAGACCAAATAAATAATTCTTGGACAGTTTAATGAATAATTAGTAAAGATTAAAAAAACAATATTGAAAACATTTAAGATTTACTCAAAGTACGTATCCTTCAATAAACAAGACAAAATTGAACTACCTTCTATTGTGTTTTCTTTTCCTAATGACAAGTGATATGGTCTTAAAAAGTTTGTTATGTTGTATTTTGACAATAGTGATGATATAAGACAAGCTTTAAACATTCTGTACTTACATTGCTGTGGTTACTATTCAAGATTTAGAATGATTTCAAGATCTGGTGCATAATACAAATATACTATAATAGTATTCATTTTCATTAAATTTTGTCTCATTTCAAGCTGTAATGTGATATACTTGCAATTTGCTTAAAGATGCATGTATTTTATAATTAATTTTTCTATACCTGATTTGGTCTATTATTTACCTGCTATAAGGTGACTTTTCTTTTAGAAATTTCATGTAGAAATTGTCTAGCCAAGTTTCAGCTAATGATAAAAATACATTGAAGTTTTTATTTAGATATATGGCTAATTTTAAAATACATGCTTCTTTAACATGTTGATAGATAATTTTGTACAGGCTCCAAGTTTGTTTGGGTTATATAGAATTTACTTCTACTGTAGATATATATATCTTCTTGTTTACCTTGTTATGTTTTTCTCTATGACCTACATTTATCATTATTTATATAGCATAAGGCTTTAAATGTAAAACATATAGTAAATCTGCCATACTCGATGCACATAGTGTGTTCCTTGAGTTCTTTATATTTTGGTAAAATTTTGATTGCTCTTTTCAATTCTAGCCTAATTGTCAAATTGAAATCAACTAAAAAAGTTTACACAAAATTTGAAAGTTAAGAACGAAAAGTTTAAATTTCAGAATAAAAATGAAATTGGTTTATTTGTGTTTTTTGTTATATTTTTTTCCCCTATCTGACACAGATATTTGATTGCCATGCATGGTGAACATTTACCAGCTGTAAAATTATCATTAATTAGAACAGCAGAATTATGCAAATTGATCACATAGAGCCCTGTTTATAACAAGGGTTAAATATTTTTGTCAATGTTTCTGATCCCTTACTTTGTGAAGTATTTATTTTATAATGGATTTGTTGTGCTCTGCTGATTTGTGTCCGTTTATTCAAAGTTTCACAGATTTCACAATCAAAGTACAAAATTTGAGTTAATATTAGTAAACATCCTGGTCAAACTACACAAATTTAATAGTTGCAAAGTGCCAGGGCCATCCTGTTCACACAATACCACAGGAAAAAAATTGTTCTTTACTGTTTGCTTCTAATTTATGTTAAATGATGTTTTATGGCTCCTTAAACTATTTTGGTCATTCCATCATATATTTAGGAAGTATAATCTGATATCAATTTTGACTGCATTGTTGTAGAATAATGCATGATTAGAGTTAAACTGTATAGGAATATAATCACAAGGGCCTAAAGGCATAATGAATTACAAAGCATTTAAACGCTAAACCATGCATTGTTATAATTATACCCCCAAAAACAAAGTTTGGGGGGGTATATAGGAGTCACCCGGTGGTCGGTCGGTCGGTCGGTCCATTTTCCTTGTCCGGGGCATAACTTGAAAACTAATGGTTGGAATTCAAAACAACTTCATACAATTGTCAAACACAATAAGGGGAAGTGCAGTGCACAAGAACCATAACTCTATCTAAAGTAATTACAGAGTTATTGCCCTTTGTTGCTTTTCCATTGCTTTTTTTTTTGTCCGTTGCATTTTCCTTGTCCGGAGCATAACTTGAAGACTAATGGTTGGAATTCAATATAACTACATACAATGGTCAAGCACATTGAGAGGAAGTGCAGTGCGTATGAAACATAACTCTATTTTGACTAATTACAGAGTTATTGCCCTTTGTTACTTTCCCTTGTCCGTGGCATAAATTGAAAACTACTAGTTGGAATTCAAAACAACTTCATACAATTGTCAAACACAATAAGGGGAAGTGCAGTGCACAAGAACCATAACTCTATCTTAAGTAATTACAGAGTTATTGCCCTTTGTTGCTTTTCAATTGCCTTCTTTTTTTTGTCCCGAGCATAACTTGAAGACTTATGGTTGGAATTCAATATAACTACATACAATGGTCAAGCACATTGAGAGGAAGTGCAGTGCATAAGAACCATAACTCTATCTAAAGTAATTACAGAGTTATTGCCCTTTATTACTTTTCCATTGCTTTCTTTTGTCCGGACCATAACTTGAAGACTAGTTGTTGGAATTCATTATAACTTCATACAATGGTCCAGCACATTGAGAGGAAGTGCAGTGTACAAGAACCATAACTCCATTTTGACTTATTACAGAGTTACTGCCCTTTGTTTCTTTTCCTTGTCCAGAGCATGACTTTAAAACTACTGGTTGGAATTCAAAACAACTTCATACAATGGTCAAGCACAATAAGGGAAAGTGCAGTGCACAAGAACCATAACTCCATCTTGACTAATTACAGAGTTATTGCCCTTTGTTACTTTTCCATTGCTTTCTTTTGTCCGGACTATAACTTGAAGACTTATTGTTGGAATTCATTATAACTTCATACAATGGTCAAGCACATTGAGAGGAAGTGCAGTGCACAAGAACCATAACTCCATCTTGACTAATTACAGAGTTACTGCCCTTTGTTACTTTTTCTTGTCCAGAGCATGACTTGAAAACTACTGGTTGGAATTCAAAACAACTTCATACAATGGTCAAGCACATTAAGGGGAAGTGCAGTGCACAAGAACCATAACTCCATCTTGACTAATTATAGAGTTATTGCCCTTTGTTACTTTTCCTTGTCTAGAGCATAACTTGAAAACTACTGTTTGGAAGTCAGTACAACTTCATACAGTTGTCAAGGACATTCAAAGGAAGTGCAGTGCACAAGAGCCATAACTCCATTTTGACAAAATACAGAGTTACTGCCCTTTGATACTTTTCCTTGTCCGGAGCATAACTTAAAACGTACTGGTTGGAATTCAAAACAACTTCATACAATGGTCAAGCACAATAAGAGGAAGTGCAGTGCACAAGAACTATAACTCTATCTTCAGTATTTATAGAGTTATTGCCCTTTGTTCTTTTTCTTTGTCTTTCTGGACTTATTACAGAGTAATTCAATTAAACTTCATCAATGGCCAACCACACTGAAAGGAAATGCAACATACATGAACCACAATTATCTTTAATTGCCCACAACCATAACTCTATGTTTCAATTCTTTTAAAAGGTATTCTGTTACTAGTAACATCCTCATTTCCGAAGCAGACTTGTGGGGGTATTAATCACATTTAGTGATAGTTCTAGTTTAAGAAAACTTAATATCTTTTTTCAATCTAACAAGCTTATATAGAAGAGAATGGATAGAAATATGCTGAAATAAGTCTGTGTAGAAGTAAATTATCCTGACATTCGGTTTAACAAGCTTATATAGAAGAGAATGGATAGAAATATGCTGAAATGAGTCTGTATAGAAGTAAATTATCCTGACATTTGGTGTATTGACGTCTGATTTTCTTACATCATATGATGTGTAAGCATTCCTTTTTTTATGCTGTGAATATATTGCGAAATAGTGCACTTGACTTGATGAATTCTATCAAATGAAACTTGTTAAATTGGACAATATTTTCACTGTTTTGTTGAAGAATAAAAGATAACCTGAAGAAATAAACATTTGCTTTCAAAAAGCTTATTGCTGTGTTCAAGTTTGGTCTAGAGAGTTATTATTCTTAGCTTGAATACTAGTATTCAAAGTATAGTAGAGCTACCTACTCCTATTACTGAAAGTATTCACTTGGAACTTGATGATCATAATTGGAGATCACTTTCCAAGACTCTAGCATAAATTTTGACAGAATTACAGCCCTTTTTTTTAATTTCTTGGTTTAGGCTTTGCATGCAACATCAATCTTTAAAGTTATGCAAGGTATTCACTTGAAACTTATAATGTATCACTTTTGGATCATAATTTAAGGTCACTATCCAAGGCCCATGATTATTATTAAACTGTAGCTTTGATTTTGACAGAATTATAGCCCATTTTGAACTTAGAAAATTCCTTGGTTATTTTTTTTATGTATCATCAATTTTAATAACTGTTCAAGGTATGCATTATGAAACTTGAATTAGAGGTAACTTTCAAAGGTCCATAACTCTGACATAGTTTTGACTGAGTTATGCCCCTTTGTGAATCAAAATTAAAATTGTTTGTTTTGCAAATGTAACATTAATCTTCCAAAATAATTACTGATAATGTAAATTACTTGAAGCTTGATTCATGCTTTTTGAATTACAATACAAAATTACTAGTAGACACAAAACCCATAACTCTGGTATGGATTTTGAATGAAATATTTAGGTTCTTCGTAAATTTAACAAATTCTTAGTCAATATCCAAGACTCATAACTATGACTTGTACATTATTTGTATTTTTGTGAATGAAATCTTCCTCTTTAATGTCAACTCTTACATTATCCAGTGAGGCTCTTGTTCACAGTACTAACAAGCACTGAAAATAAGCAAGCGTGCTGTCCTAGCTGATACTAACTAAAATAATACAGAAAGTCCAAGCAATATCGTTTTTAAGGAATCGAGTATTTAATCATTCTTTATATATAGGTTATAGGTTATATACAGAGTTTTAAGAAATTAATTTTCGAGTGAACGAAATGAAGCGGGGAAAATTAGTTTCTTAAAACTCTGTATAACCGAGTTACAGTTAGCCCCGCCTATTCAAATAGTGCACTATGTAAATAGGCTGAGTCCATTAAATCGGTCATTTAACGTATAGATTTAATACATACAGTTGAGTTACAGCACTGTATGGAAAATACTTCAGCAAAATTTAAACAAAATAGAGCGATTTCATTGGCAGACAAACTTTGGCGAACTGTAAATCAACACTGTGTTTCAAATACATTAAGTAAATCAAAGATGGCAGGCAAGTAAATTAAGATTGATTTTCAGCGTACATATTTCATAACTGAGAATTGGTCAATGATGAAGAGCTTGTACAAGGTATATTCTCTGCAGTGGTCATTTATTAATACATGTAACCATAATATATATAGGCATTCTGTAAAAGAAGTTGCATATATAAATACAACAGAACTATCTGCATATGCCTATTTGCTAAAGCGGATGATAATTTTAAGTTTCTGGCATTGTCTTGGTTACAACAGTTTGCAAGCTTGTGAAAATATAGCTTCAATGATCTAGTGATAATTCACCGGAGCAAAACAAAACCTGCACAGGAATGTGAAAAAGTCACTGGAGTTACAGTTGCTATCTTAAATCTCTCTGTGCCATACATTAAAATTTAAATGTAAACTTTGCCTGATTAAACAAAATGATACTTGAAATAACATTAGGTGTCATAGCCTACTTTTCAAGTTATCTGCCCCCAATGATGAGTTTTTTTTGGTTTTTTTTTTTGCTCTTTTATTATTTAGGTCAATTTCAAGAGCAGATAACCAAATAATTATTCAAGCATTTTTTTAACCTGATTTTGTTTCCAATCTAATTAATGTTGCTTTTTTTATTTATTAATGTTGTTTCTTTTTTAGTCATTTTGCAATGTATAAACAATTTTGTCCAACAGACATTTTACTATTAGCTTCATGCAATTACAAATATAGTAAACATTATTATTATATTGCACTTTGGGGCATTATAACTGGATTAAAATTGCTATATTTTGCATAAACAACTAAAAATAAAATATATATCTCATAGAATTTCAGCAAATTTTGAAGCATGACAGGGAATAAAATAACAAACATGAGTGGCTCTAAATTCAAATAAGGTGATACTTGCCACAGGGCTAAAGCCTCACTTTCAGGGGCAGATAACTAAAAAAAATCATAAATCAATTCTATTTGTTTCAATTACAATTAAAGATGTGCATTTGTAAGCTCTGCAAGTTATTTTAACTACTCTTTTTTTTCTCCCTTTATGTTGAACAAAAGTGTCCTCTGATTTTTATTCTACTCTACTGGACAAAGTACAGCAAAAGACCCTGCATAAGTAGATGGGTCTACAGTACTCGGGAATTCTCAAAATTAAATGTTGTTTGGAGACGCTGGAGCCAACTGTAACATTGAAAAGAAATATGCACGTGATGCTCTGGTTTTTGCTCTCCATTGGTCAAATGCCAGTCTGCGTTACATATCCAATATGCTATTGGTATTTATAGTAAATACCATAGTGGTGATTGACCCATTGTGTTAATGTCACAGGATTCGATTGGGAGAAACATCATGTCTTGTGTGCGATATATTATTCCAAGATTTGCTCAATATATAGCACGATCTAGTGCATTTACAACGTCGTTTGTTCCGAGAAATAAACTGAACCATTCACTTGTACGGAATTTTTCTACAACGATCCCAAAACCAAAGAAAGAAACGTAAGTGTTTACATTTTCGACCATTATCTGTTTTCGGATATTTTAGTACTGTACATGTAAGTTGAATAACTTCTAGTTTTTAATTCTTTCTTATGTTTCATTATCTGGTATTGCTGTTGATGAAATGAATAAGTGCCTCGTTCAGTCAGACATTTGTCACAATAGGTAATATTAGTTTTCAGCTTTTGTATAAACTAATTAATGGTCTAGAAGATTTTGACTGTGAAAAGTTACTCTCGTTTAATGACAATCCCACTCGGGGGCACATATATCGCCTCATCAAACCCCGTTGTGTAAAATCTATACGCTTAAATGCTTTTCCTACTCGTGCAATCGACAAATGGAATGACCTGGACGAAACGATAGTTTGTAGCAATAGTGTTAACTCATTCAAATGTAAATTGGATAAAGCATGGCAGAATCAAAGGTTTGACCTGGAAGATATATATTCCTAGACGCGTACTTTTCCGCGTGATTTTTTCAACCGGAAGCGGAACACCAAATGTAAACATGAGATCGAGGGAGTCAACAAGCACAGGAGTGCTTACAATACTCCAAGGAAACAGTAAACAGTAAACAGCCAGCAGACCAAATGTTTTCTATTATGGTTGATATAAATTCCCGGAAAACAAAATGCAGTTACTGGGTCAGCATAAATTCAGATTTAATCTAAAGTAAAACATCAACAACTGAGAATGTAATCAACATGATAAAGCCAATTTTGCTTACATTTTGCTAGCTTTACTTTAGCTATATATATATTTTGTAACTTAAAGTAGCAACTACATGTAGGCCTACAGTACAGCGCTACTTTCATCAGATCAGTTGTTTAACATCTAACATGCCCCTAATTCATTATTTTTAGTAAGTCACATGTTTTACCTTTCTGAAGAATTTTTAAATAATGATTTCTGAGGCTTATTGCACCAGTCCTCTACATAAAATATAGTGCTGGCTTCCATAACTTTTTATGTCGCTTTTATTTTGAAGGTGTGGGACAGCAGTACTAAAAAACCTGTTCGCTTAAGACTCTTTAGCTAACATAAAATACAGATAGACTTTAAAGGATGTTATTATAAAATTTCAGCTCTCTTTACACTGAGTCAATTAACAATTTGTTAAGATGTACAGAATTTGTAGTGAACTTAAAATGAGTAGTACCAGTTGTTGTTTACACAGTTTATTAAATATTGCCATATTTTGTCAGAAAAGAACACAACACCTTAGATTCATGCAGTCATATTATTCTTTGAGATAATAACTTGAAAGTCTCAGGATGAAGGTCATTTATGTAACCAAAGCTTGTCAACTCAAAATGAATTAGTAAAAATTGAACATACATGACTGTAATTAGTTTTTAATGTGTAGCTTCTTTTTCCCATCACTTGGTTGAAATTAACAAGTTACCGTAGCCCAACAGTAAAAATTGTAATTTACTAGTGAAAATAAAATGCTTTGTTATTAGAGTGACCCAATACTAACCAATATACATGTAATCAATGACTGTTGGTTTTATGTGGAGCAGTGGCCTAGTGGTTGAAGTGTCTGCATCTCAACCAAGCAGTTGTAGGTTGGAGCCCTATTCAGGCCATGACAATGATTCTTAATATCATTAAAAGTCACAAGTTCTGATCTGGGAAGTGAGCTTGAAAATTGTTAATATGCAGTCAAGCTTAAATAAATATATCTTAAAATAATATAAACTTAAGTACATAATCATGTACTAGAAAATATAAATTATTATCTTGTTTTGACAGACAATATATATAGTATACAACTAGTAATGCTACCTTGATGTGAGAATGCTACTTTATTATTTTATAGGATAACTGTATATTTCATAGATAGAGATGGGGATAAAGTTGCAGCTATAGCCACTGTTGGCACAACATTTCTTGATGTTGCTATACATAATGATGTTGAACTTGAAGGTACTTTTTATCATGCAGTGGCAGAAAGGAGATGAACTTTGAACTTTTTTATAAAAGTGATTTCAATTGTTACTTTTGTAATAACTTTATTCCAATAAAAACAGTCTGAAGTATTGTAAAACCAGGCTTATCATGTCATACGGTTTATCTCTATGTAAGAATGGCTGTTTATGCCTGTAAAGGACATAAAACGAACACCTTGATAATTTAATAAAGAAAGAGAAGCAATTCCTGGCGTAAACCTTAGAAATCAAAGTGCAAATTGTGTGAGATGGTTTTTCCTGGAAGTTTATAAAAACTGAGGCCCAGCATGCAAGTAATGTCCCAATGAAATATAAATAATTAGTTGTGTATATCAGACTGTAGAGAATTTAAAGCACATGGATAACTGACAAATTAATACACAAGATATATAAACTAATACAAGGACAAAATGATACATTAAAATGATATTCGTAGCAAATTACGAAACATGAATATCGACCACTGTATAATGGCACATAGTTAACCATATTTATTAAACAGTCTTATCTTGGAAACTTATATTTATTTTAAATAATAAAGTGATATCCCTATCTTGATAAATAGAAAGTTACAAAAATGGAGACTGGAAAAGTCTATTTAAAAATTCAGCAGGTTAAGGGTTAAAATATTTAAAAGGTAGAAATTAAACTGTTCAAACAGGCACCTCTGACATTGAGTGTATGAAAAAATATAAAACCATACCATGGTTAACATCTTTTATGGACTTTTCAGTCTATCAGTCTAGACTAAATCATTCTTCATTATTAAGGAAATTTTCAAAATATGTACAGACTACTGACAGTGCACATTATTATCACATGACAGGGAAGTACTGCCGACTGAACTTGGTCTGCACTGCTTATATGAGTAGATTATGTTTTAGCCAGCTGGCTACGGTCGTAATATCTGTTATCTATATAGATTGTATATTATTTTAAATGGCTTGATAGTAGTGCTTTTAGATTGAATTATAAGATAAATTTTGGGAATTACAGCAACAAGAGTGAAAACTTGTTTAAAATTAAGTTTTTTTGTTGTTGTTTTTTCACGCTGAAGTTTATTATTTCAATAAATACTCAAAAAGTTAGTAGCTGTGTGCTTATGTTTCTCAGCAATGCACAATAACAATTAGCACTATTTTGTTTAAAGGTTCTAGATATTCTCTCTACTACATGTACATGTAACTGCAAGGATTTAATATATTAATATATAATCAATACACCGATGTTGTAGGACTTGTAATAATCACAGCAACTTGAACCTTAATGTTAGAATTAATGGTAATTAACTCTGTCAACCCCAGCTTGACACCACTGGAGGTGTTAGTGTCAACACTGGTAGCTTAAATATCCGAAGATTTTCCTATAATGTTAATACATTTGTATTTTGTTTCACTATATCATTGACAAGCCTGTGTCACGTTGACACAACAGATATTATTTAATTAGATTTTATTAGCATCATTTTAAGGTATCATTATAAGCTTATATTTCTTGTTGGAATAATTTTTTGCAGACTTCTCATATAATTTTTGCTCTATATTTTTTTGTCTATCTTTGTTTTGTTACCATAGTGATCTTGTTTGTTGTATTCAAAAAATCTTTAACCCTTTTAAGTACTGAATTTGTGAACAATCCAATCCTAGTTTTAGGGAGTTCAATATCAAAATAGAAAATACAAAACTTGAGCTTCTAATGGTATAGAGCCTGGTCAGACTACACTGGCAGGCTTAGCTGTATACTTGTGGCAAAGGTAATCTCTTGGTTCCAGTGGATTAAAGTTAAAGTTTGTTTTTGAAATTATTGCTCATCGATGGCAAGTGCGATTTTAGGGCATGTTTAATAATTAATTTACACAATTGAAAGTAATGCAATCCAACAAAATTATAGACTTATCAAACTTTCTTTTTTTCTTTTTATTACATACTTTTTGTAAAATGCATAAAAGAAAATCTGAACAAAACTGAAGTTACTACATAATTGTGTATCTTTTATTATGAATGAGCAACACCAGACAATATTGATTGTTTATAAGTGTCAATATAATGTCAGTACAAATTTGTGATTCGTTAATGTGGATACATGAAAATTTAATATGTATCTTCAGTTGAAAATGACAATAATTTACATAACAGATAATTCAAAAGCTTCAATAAAATGACTTAATATATATATATCTCTAAACACATGTAGCAGTTTTTCTTGACTCTGTAAAATTTTTGCGCGAAATAGAAAATCATGATAATTGTATTTGCTAGACACCCTTAGCACTTTTCTGTTGCTATATCACATCCAGCATTATGTTCATAAATATGTTAACAATGAGATAGTATTTCAAATAAACATTAAGAGATCTGTGTCTCCTAAGTGTTGTCTGAAGTGTAAAAGATTTCTCACACTAGTTGCGGTAGCTTGAATGTGATAGACTGTCGGTTGCACATTTGTCGCCAGTCTGGCAACACATAACACATAATTTATGAGGGATTCACTCTGAAAGACTTTTTGTAAATTTAGTTTTTGTATATTTTAATGTAAAATAAGCTTTTTCTGTATAAATTCAATGTATATACTTTGCTCTAGTATAATATACAGTAATAAAGGATTTGAGGGAAAAATGAGCCGCGTCATGACAAAACAAACATAATGGGTTTGCGACCAGCATGGATCCAGACCAGCCTGCACATCCGCGCAGTCTGATCAGGATCCATGCTGTTCGCTTACAAACCCTATTTCAAGTAGAGAAACTGATAGCAAACAGCATGGATTCTGATCGTACTGCGCAGATGCGCAGGCTGGTCTGGATCTATGCTGGTTGCAAACCCACTATGTTGGTTTTGTTGTGACGCGGCTCAAATGATCTATCATAATTATAGAATAGCATTTGATTTCATGACAGTTTCCATACGTCTATTTTCAGAGTGTCTGTACATTTTGTTTGTTCTGATGGGTCAAAACATACCGCAAATGCTAAAGTTGGAGATAATCTACTTGATGTAGTTATTGACAATGATATAGACATAGATGGCTTTGGTTAGTACTATATTTTACTCTAAACCTTAACCTGCTGCAACAGTAACTGATAAGCCCTCGCCACTAGTATAGAGCCAGGCCAGCCTGAACTAAGGAGGCTGACCAAGCTCTATATTGTCTGCAGCTAATTTTATTTTATTTTTTAATTTAAGGAAACCCCTTAAAATACAAATAAATTATTCACAAATTCCAAGGCTGGGTAAGTCCATTTTACAGATTAAGGTCTAACAAGAATAGGGGTAAAATAGTAGTTAAACAAAACTGATAAACGTTTAAAACGATGACCAAATAACTGTGTTGAACACATAACCGACCATAGTAATACAGTTTTTAGATTTTTAACATAAACTTTGTTTCTTCATGATACGATATGATATTCTGTTCGTATTTTGTTATACGCAACAATGATTACAAAAGAAGTCTGATTATATAAAGTAACTATTTTAAGACAGTACCGTACACGATCATATATATGTTACTAAGCATGAGAGAAAACATCTTGTTATTAAAAACCTAAGTAATGTTTAGAATACATGTAATTTTTAAAAAAAGATCGGCAGTTTGTCTAATACTAACCTCAGTTACGGGTTATTGAGTTTTCTGACCGGTTTTTAGCTAACAACCGACCCTACCCGTTTAAAGGGATAAACATGACACCCCGTAATAATGGCCAACCTGAATTTATTGCCTGCATTTCCATGTAGTCTGACCACTTTAATCTGTTGAACAAACAATTTAGAACTTTCATCCAACATTCTCATTTACTATGGAAACTTAATACATATTTTTTTCATAAAAAAAATTATATGAGCAACATATTCCTTGTCACTAAAATTTCATAAACACATCAATGATCATTCATATACATCATGTACTATCATTTCCCACAAAAATAAATAATATATTTTTAAATATAATGCTATAATAAGGATTACCAAAGTTAAAGGTGAAAAAATACTTACTTTTTCAGTAGACAGGAAATGTTCCCTGACAGTGTTGTTTATATTCAAACCCAATAAAAGACAACAAAAATAAACACACATTTTAGCAAAAAACAGATAGGTGTATTGAAGAACAGTCTGCCTTTTCTGTCGCTGCATGTTTAATTCAAATGATTTAAATTCTTGATTCTTTTAATTTGAATATTTTTATACATGTATATAATTTAAAATTGTTGTTTAAATTTGAATATTTTTTATATAATTTAAAGTTGTTTATACATGTAAGTCTAAATAAATGGAGATTAATTAATATCATTAAATTATTTAGATTGTCTGATTACATTGTATATTTGACCTAAGGAAGATTGTCATGTATAATAAATGATTGATTTTAATTGATACAGGTGCTTGTGAAGGAACATTAGCATGTTCTACATGTCATCTGATATTTGAGCAGAAAGATTATGATAAGTTACCACAGGAACCTACAGACGAGGAGCTAGATATGTTAGATCTCGCATATGGACTTGCAGACACGTATGATTTGAATTTTTAAAATCTTTAGAATTCTTTTTTTTACCTGAGTAATAACAAAATTTAATAAAATATGCTATGAGATTATTATACATTATTGAGGACAATACTGAATTCTATTGTATAAGTATACAGCTGTTAAAACAATAGTGGACTAGGCGCTAGTAATAAGTCTAATATAGGTTTTCCAACTGTGTATGAGTCCAACAGAATCAGATTTTTTCCTAAACACCTTATTATTAGTATTACCTCTTTATTTTTTACCACCATATTTTGACAGAACTTTGTTACTTTAATTAAAATAAGGATATTTTTGAAGTCTCAAAAATGAAAACGAGGCCAGATTGAGTATGATATGCATTTAATAGAGATATTCTGAAGTCTAAAAATGAAAACAAGGCTATATTGGTGAGATATGGATTTGATAGAACTTTTTGAACTCTGGAAATAAAAATGAGGCTTATTTGAGTAGATCGAATTCAGTTACCATTGTGACTGGAACATTACTTGGGGGAAATACTGAAAGTGCATTGATTATGTTTTATAAGGTGTGAAATAAATGAAATAGATGTATTTATTTAATCTTGAATGTAATGAAACTTTCTTCTTGTCAACTCTCCAGTCAACTTTCTATACCAGCCTGCTACTCTGATGTAGTATAAGAAAAATAAAGTGGCTCAAACCTGATACCAAGGTTATAGAGGCAGACACCTTAACTACTTAGTCACCTCTAGTTTTTATTACAAAGTAACGTAACAGTTAAGTTTCTGAAACATGTAGTTTCATAAATTTTACAGAGAATGTTGTCTGGTTAAACTAGTTATTGTAAAATTTGTAAATGGAGAGGACCTAAAAATGAACAAGTTTCTGATGAATTTAAATCATCCACTTGATTAAGATTTCTCTAGGGTATTTTAGAGAATTTATCCAGTAAGGGTACAGAAAATATTATCCAGAAGCTTTCTAGAGAGTCAGATATAAGGCTTGTTGGGTCACCAGTAACTTTTCATAGAAAAATTGCAAAGTACACATATGACATTGTAGAATATAATTTTATTTAGTAGATAAAAATACTAAAACCTTGATATCATTGTACAGATTTGTTTCAAAGCCACTGGGCATATAGTAATCAAACCATCTGTCTGTCCATCCATCCGTCCGTCTGTCTGTCTGTACCAGGTTGACCTAAACTGGCAAATTGGATATAGTTCTACCTGTAAAATTGGTTTAATAATTTACACAGTTACTAACCAAATCAAAGTCCATGATTTCTGCAAGTAACATAATTGTGGCTTCCTTTTTCCCCAAGCTATTTCCGTTTTTACTCTTTGAATAAAAGGTATGGTTACACTATTCCAGCAAGTTGGATATACATTGTAATATAAAGTTTAATATATTTTTTTACAGTTCTCGTCTAGGATGTCAGATAATTGTAACCAAGGATATGGATGGCCTCACAGTACGAGTACCAGCAGGTGTAGCCGATGCCAGGGAACCTTAACATTAGCACAGTTTAGGTGTATTGTAAATTAAATTAGTCATATCTTTATATGTCTTGTAAATTTATTCAAGATAACAAGTTTTGTGATTTTTTTTTTTTGTATTGGTTAAGATAGCAGTTACAATCATGTTATTATCTTGTTATTAAATATTTGTGATTCAGAAAAGATTTCTTAAAGAAATTCATACTTTTATTTATTTTTTTAAAGATAAAAATGTATAGCAATTTTTGACTTATATAGAATGAAGTTTTTGTTCTTTTTTAAAATGAGGAGTATTTGCTCAAACTTACAAATGAACTAAGAAATATGTACTAAATTATTTCTAAAATTTATTTTTAACTGAGAATTATGAATAATTATGTGCATATATTATACATGTATGAGGGGTTATCCAAAAATTTGTGGACCTTTAAAATATCTCTTAAACGTCAACATGAACTGTAATGAAATTTTATCACGTACCTTGTAGAATATTAATCAACACATTTTGAAAGGAACAATAAAATGCGTCAATAAATAATGATTTTATATTGCTTTTAAATAAGCACATACACAGCATCCGGCGCAAGGTAGAAAAGTGCAGTAAGTCGTCGTATATTTTTTGCTAAAAAACTAATAATTTACATAGAAAACCCCCTAAACATTGCATGTTTCTTCTAGGACGTTAAGTAAAAAAATTATGGACGTCATTTCAGTTGTTTTTTTTGTTGATATCGCTAGAAACGCCAGACGCCAATATTGTTTACATCAGAAAAATAACGGACACGCAGAAATTAGAAAATTGCGCAATCATGAAATTTTGTTGTCATTTGGGAATGATACCTACAAAAACATTTGATAAAAATCAGCAGGCGAACAGAAGAAATAAGATGTCGCGATCATTAGTGTTTTGAGTGGCATAAGAAATTTAGTGATGGACATTACTTTAAGAAGCAGTGACTGTTATTGACTGCGTAACGTTGAAGCACAAGTTGTACGTTATTATGACGTTGATGTCAAAATTATTTTGGAGAGTGCCGCTGTTGTCAACATGTGTTTATGCTAAATTAAATATTGTGGTTATATATGAAGCTACTTACATGATTTTTTCTGTATTTATTTGTCATTTATTCTTCTAAACAGTGTAAGGATTTCAAATCAATATCTCAAATATATTTTAAGCAACAAAAAAAGTCCACAAATTTCTAGATAATCCCTGGTATTTAATGTCTTGATTTTTTGATGTGTTGATTTTTAAATGTTGTTCTAAAAATCAAAACAAAAACAGCTGTAACTATAAATAAAATGTATAGAATTATTTTTCCAAATTAGGTTGATAAAATTTTATTACATTAAAAGATACACAGTTTTATTTCTAGCTGCCTGTTAAGTGCAACCTGTAAGTAGCGGCACTCTGAAAAGCCAGAACCTACTTTCAACAAGATGTATCAATTTTTCCCATAGTAATAGCTCTGAAGAGCAAATTCTCTTGGTAAAAGACCAAATTCTTTGTCTCTCAAGATGTGTTGTTTGCCAAAGTAACACCCTTTTTTGACACAATATATTATTTGAAAATCAGACTCGAAAATCATATAAAAGTATGTATATTATAAAGTTCTTATGAAACTGTGACACATTTATGAAATCAATGCAAAACCAAGTTACATTGCAAAATTGATTATTTTGTAAGTGAACATTTTATTCTGTATTATTTCATGCTTTCCAGTGTTTTATTGTAATATATCAGATGTTTATATTCTGATAAACCACTAGTGAAATTTATAAAATATAATTTTCACTGTAGCCGGACTATATCTGAATGCGGATGAAAAGAAAATCATAACTAAATGGAATAACAGGCAGAAATAAATGCCATCATTTGTAAATTTTGCTTCTTTAGGAAAAGAAAGCCGATGTCACCATACATTATGTTAAAAATGTAACAAAATTAGAAAAAATTAACAGAACTTTTTTTTTTAAATTGTTGATGTGACGTCATGATGTAATGACGTCACAAAGGAGAATGCGCGACGATACGCGGCAAAATCAGTAAAAATTACTTAAAATCACTTAAAACGCATGAAATAAAAAGAAAATTTATTTGTTTTACATATAAGATTGAAATATATTTCATTCGTGAACACCAGCTATTATATTTTCACTCGTGGCTACGCCACTCGTGAAAATATTGCATCAGGTGTTCACTTAGTGAAATTATATTTCAATCTTACATGCAAAACAAACAAATATCCTCTATTTCTTATATAATACTATTATACCATACATAAGTGTCTTCTTTCGTTATTGATATATCAGCAAGCCTTTAAATGATAAATATTCACAAGGATGTCAGTGTACAAAAAAGTAGTGTGTTCCTTAAGGGGCACTGTTCTGTTTTTGTGGGACTGCTAAAATTTAGCAGCTTGAGACCAGAAGAAATATTTTACATAACACTCAATTATTCCAACAGTTTTCAGTTCATTTTACTGAAAATTTTGTTATTTGTACAATATGATTTCTTTGTTTGTTAAACTTTTACCAAAATGTTCTAATTAAGTGTGGTATAATTAGGAAATAGATCAATATCAATTTTGAGTGCATTGTTGTAGAATAGTGCAAGGTTCGTGTTCAAATGCGTAGTAATATAATCGTGAAGGCTGATAGGTCTGTGTGATTAATTACGAAGTATTTGAACGATAAATCGTGTATTATATTATGCATCAAAAATTAATATATTTTTCCATACTTAAATGCTAATAAAAAAGAGAATTTATTAAAATTTGTTGATCTACATTGAGTGTAGAAATAATTTTCCTGATGTCGTTTTGCTGAAGTCATATGATGTGTAAGCATTCCTTTCTTATGCTGTGCATATATATCGTGTAATAATGCACTTGATTACCCTGTCTGTTTGATATGGTTATAGTGCAAAGCATGTTAGAATATTAGAGATAGCACACAGTACTTCAAACCACATGTGATCTCCCAGTCAGCCCTAAATATTTAACAGAACTCGGCCGCTCGGTTTCAGTCTGTTAAATGTTTGCTTGCTGACTGGCCAATCACAATATTTGAATGAGAATGTCAGTGTTACGTTTTTTTGCTTAAATGATATAACAATGACATTTTCTCTTCTCTCTGTCCAAATATAATTAAAAGAATATGAAGACAACATGATTGTAGTTTTAAAATTTTTCGTAGAATATATTGCCAGTAAGCTTTTCTTCCTGTAAAAGAAATTAATACCCTAGAAATGCTTTTGTATTTTTATTTCTTAAAAGAAAATTAATTTTTGGAGTCCTACACTGATTGACCTTGTAGCTGGACCATCTGTATTTTGCTTTTTTTGCTTTTTGGCCAGTAGTAAAATGTTAGTGATAGAGTTATTTGATGTAGAAATACTTACAGGTCTAATATTGTTATTTTTGACGCTTGGTTGTAAAATCATAACTGATTTTGGTAGAGGTCTGTTCATTTTGATGTACAATATCTTTGTTTTTATATATTAACTTCTTTTTATTTAGCGCTAAATGTACATTTTTAGCCAATATTAATTTTGCCAACTCGGCGACTATTGCCATGTAATATTTAGATGGATTGTACTAGATTATATTGCTTGCTCTTGGTAATAATGGGACTATTGTTGCTCGTATGACACAATCAGAATTAGTTAACCCCTTTGTTATGTACATTTTCTTAAAACTGTCATACATGTAGCTGTTCATTTTAAACTTGCTATAAATGTCTACTGTTAAAATATGATGTCACTAAAAAAGAGCAGTTGATCCTAGAATTATTTCTTTTTGCAAAGTTTTGCTCTCTTTATGTATACTTTGATTATGCTATCCAACATGCTGGTCTAAAAATGTTCGTCAGCTCATGATGGATATATAACTTTGACCAACTAAGATAATTTGTTCAGTTGTTTAAAGACACATATCAATAATTAGATTTAAGAGATTAAATTAAGGATAAACAGCAAATATATTTATGTCTATACCTGCGGCCCACTATAATAAAATTCCCTGGATCTGAATCTGCTCCATAAATCTTTTGAAGGAACCTATACCAGTAATAATAATGTGTTTTAACATTATTTCATGGCAATAAAGAATATGGTCAAGTCTTTTCTGTGAAATGTCGCAGACCATGTCAGTATTTTAGGAAACAATTCACATAGCATTTTGTATGATGTGTTTAGTAAGCTAAGCTTAATTTGAATAAAGGATTATTCTGTTTTTAATTTTCAATATCTCTTAAATAGTTATAGGAATTTCAATTTGAAGAAGTATGTTAAATTAAGCAGCCTGGAAAACAGAGCCTGAATGGACTCCCAGAAGATTCAGACTGGCCTGAAAACTGTCCAAATAACTATGGTGAATTCTATTGTTATTTTACAGAATGTTGGTGGTTTTACTCAGGTACCCATTCATGCCTGAAATAATGCATGGAAGGGAACCTGAGGTCTTCCTCAAGCAGTAAAGCTGGAAGTCCAACATATGACCTTTACTGTGTTGTTGTGACATAAAACCAGGCAAAAAAAATCAAATAATTGTTGTTATTACACTTGTATGTACAATTGTAGTTTGTTACAATGGAGTGATGTAATGGTAAAAAGAAAATGATCAGAAATAAAAGAAAGCTATTTTGAAGTTTAGTTATCTTGAACATTTCAACAAATAACTCTTGCAGAATGCCTAAAGGGAGATAACTGTGTAGAATATGTTTGATTTGTATAGATATTTATTTAAGCCCTTGTTCAGGACATTGAACATTAATCACAAGAGTGTGTCACATACAGAACCATAACATGATCTAGAGACAAGAAAGGCTTGCAGTAACACTCATATTCTTAGCTCGAAGTATATGGAGAGCTGTCCTAAACGCCCCGGCGTCCGTGTCCAGATTTCATATTAAAGTTTTGGTGCAGCAAAATATTTTTCACTGTAACTTTTTCATTTCTTAAGGTATCAACTTCAAATATATGTTCCTTATCATCAACCACATCTTATGTGACAAGGTTCATAACTCTAGCACCAATATTTTCAGATTTATCTCCCCTTGAACTTAGAATTTTCATTAAAAAATATTATTTTTACTGTAACGTCTTTATTACTTTAGGGATCAACTTCATACTTCAAATATATGTTTCTTATCATTGACCACATCTTATGTGATAAGGTTCATAACTCTAGCATATTGTTCAGATTTATCTCCCCTTGAACTTAGAATTTTCCTTAAAAATATTATTTTTTACTGTTACTTTTTTATTACTTAAAGGATCAACTTCATATTTCAAATATAATTATGTTCCTTATCATGAACCACGTCTTATGTGACAAGGTTCATAACTCTAGTACCAATTTTGCAACACTTATCTCCCTGTTAACTAAGATTTTTTTACTTAAAAAAAGTTATTTTTTACTATAACTTATTTAGTTTTAAAGGTATCTACCTCAAACTTCAAATACATATTCCTGATCATCAACCATATCCTATGTGATAATGTTCATAACTATCGAAGCAATATTTTCAGATTTATCTCCCTTTGCACTTAAAAATTTCTTAAAGAAATATTATTATAACTTCTTTACTTTTTAAGGTATCTACTTCAAACTTCAAATTTATATTTCACATGTTTTTATACAAGGTCCATAACTCTAGTGTGACTATTTCCAGAATTTCCCCCCCTTGAACTTGGAATTCATGTTAACAACAATAACTTCTTGTCATAAAAAGAAATATTTTTAGTCCCCTAACGGTTTAATTGATGGGATTTTGTGCCCATAAATAGTTTTGTTTGTGACTTCACAACGATGAGAAAGTGGCTTAATTTTAACACTTATAAACCCGTTTTTTAACCAGGTTTTCCGAAGGAACAAACTTGTTAGGTTTTCCAAAGGAAAAAACTGGTTATTAGATTAAGGTATGTCGGCGGGCGGGCGGGCGGGCGTATACAATTTCTTCTGTGCGCAACTCCTCCTACATTTTTCAACAGATTTTGACCAAACTTTCACAGAAGCTTTGTCATCAAGTGACCTGGCGCATATTGTCGGGGTTTTGTGATTGGATGATATTTGACCTAATTATGGCCCTTTGTTTTTTTTCCTTAAATAGAATATATAGTGAATAATTTCGTCTGTGCCCAACTGTTCCTACATTTCTCAATGGATTTTGACCAAACTTTCGCAGAGGCTTTGTACTCAAGTGCCCTGGCGCATATTGTTGGGGTTTTGTTATTGGATAATATTTGACCTAATTATGGCCCTTTGTTTTTTTTCCCAATATAGGATATAATTATAGTGAACAATTTTCTGTGCGCACATCCTCCTACATTTCTCAACAGAATTTGACCAAACTTTCACAGAAGCTTTGTTATCAAATGCCCTGGCTCACATTATCGGGGTTTTGTGATTGGATAATATTTGACCGAATTATGGCACTTTGTTTTTTTCCTTATACAGAATATATAGTGAAAAAATTCTTCTGTGCTGAACTCCTACTATACATTTCTCAACGGATTTTGTTCAAACTTTCACAGTAGCTTTGTCATCCAGTGCCCTGGCTCTTATTGTCGCGGTTTTGTGATTGAATAATTTTTTATTTAATTATGGCCCTTTGTTTTTTTCCATATACAGAATATAATTATAGTGAACACTTCCTCTGTGGCAATTCCTCCTACATTATTCATGTTTTACATTGCACATAGTTACATTGTTTGCTGCTTGTATTTCAAATACAACATATTTATCTACAATGGTGATAATTGAAAACCTGGTTTCATGGCATTGCCATGTTTCTTGTTAAAAATGCGACCACTAACACTTAATGTAGAAATTTGTGTATCAATTGTTTTCAGGTGAACTATCTTAGGCCATCATAGTTATCTTGTTAGTCAATGATTCACAGTAAAAGTTACATTTCATTTGTGGAGGCCAGGTCACATCACTGTGGTGGCCGGTTGCGGCCATTTCAAACCCGCGAGAAATTTTATTGTTTTGTCATATAATGTCGCGGGCAACTTACAAGTTCGCGAGATTTTCTGCCGAAATCGTACAAAATGGCGCGGGGAACGTATAAACCTCGATATTTTATAACAGTTGTTTGAAACAGCAAGGAACATTTTGACTCTCCCCCTTTATCCCTCCTTTATCTATAAAAAAGTCGAGGAACAGAAAGAAATCTGCGACATTTTTTGCATGTGTTGTAAAAAATCTACAAAAGTCGAGGGGAAAAAATTATAGGCCTTGACTTTTTGTTCCTCAACAACGAAATTTCTTTAAAAGTCGCGAATAAAAACTCCGCGACGTATAAGCCACAACTTTTTGTAAAAAATCCGCGATAAAAAGTCGAGGCTTTATGCTCAAACTCGACTTGTTACAAGGTATGCATCAAAGCAAAATATCGCGGATTATAATAAAGTACAATGTAGGCATATGTTTGCGTGGTTAAGTCTACTAAAAAAAATCTCACGGTTTCCATCGTAAAACTCGACTGTTTACGACAGAAGCGTGACAGGAAAACTCGAGAGTTTCTATAAGTCGCGACATTTTATACAATGTCAACATAAAATTTTGCGGATCTTAAAGTTGCCCGCGACATTTTATAAACTGGCGGCTTTAAAATGGACGCTATCGGCCACCATACATAACTGCAGTTTGTATTTCTGTAGGAGTTATTTTAAGGAAATTTACTATGATTTATGCCCTGTCCTATTTTCGTTCCGCGGCGCGCCAGGCGAGGCGCCCCACGGTGCAAAAATACGTCATGGCACAAATCAACCACCATAGTTTTGTGATGTGTATCCCCTAACAGACCATTTTGTTCGAAGTATCTTTAGAGCTTACAGATTTCACACATATTTTAGGCCTACCTTCTCTCATTGAGCGAAAAATATGTAGGAATAATACGATGTAACAAAACTGACAAATGTTAAAGTTTGATAAAAGTGCGATATTAAATAGCTTTGCCTTTATCTCATATATATAAAAAGACTGAAAAAAGTGTTAGATGCAGCTAAGAATTATTTACATTACTCAGAATATAAATTTAAAAAAGCCATAAATGTAAATGTGCAAAAGCATATGGGAAATTTAAGATGTTTCAAAATAACATTTCACAATCTTTATTACAAAGATTATTTTTAAAAAGTGTAGTTTTATGTGATAAGATTACGTGCATTCGAATTTATCAAAAACATTTATCTCAAAACTGCGTTTACATCGCCATGCGATATCTGTTCAAGAAACCCTTCAAACAACAGAAGTTATTGAGATATTTCTTTTTTTTACGAAATCGGAATTTTTAGTGCATAATGCTGATAACTTGACTAAGACGTCTAAACTTGTTCCCTATTTCTGTTATAATAATATTTATATGATATTTCGGTGAGAACACTTCCAAATTTTGCTATCAGTTATGACCCTTAAACAGCGCTCCTTAAAAACAAAATGCTATCATTTCTGCTGATATTTTCGTCGAGGACTGATATTGTGACGAGACTTGATAACTTCAGAAAATAATAAGTTAATTTAAGATTTGAAAATATTTTAATTGTGAAAAGACATTTTGTGTATTGTATGGTAGAAAATGGATGTTTCTAGATTCAAATTCACGCAAAGAGCTGCTGGCAGATTTTTTGAAAACAGCGACTCGGACTTCGACGTAAGCCTGAATGAGAACAAAAACACAAAACGAAAAACAGAGACGGATATGCGTATTTTCTCATCATACTTGGTGTCTATCAACGAATCTAGGGAACCGGAAGCTATTCCAGCAGACGAACTTGATCGTCACTTAGCAACTTATTTTTCCGTTATCAAAAAGCACGATGGAAATGAGTACGAACCGGCAAGCCTCCGGGGTATGTTGTGCAGTATTGAACGTCACCTGAGGTCTAAAAACTATCCAATATCACTGACGAGAGACTACGAATTTACAAGTACAAGGAACATGTTAAAGGAAAGACAGAAGTTGCTAAGAGAATTATCAAAGACAGACAAAGGCACAAAGTCCAACATAATTGCCTTAAGCACAGCACAGAGATTAAATCAACTATATCTTGCGAAAGAATTTGGTCCACACAATCCTTCAGCAGTTATCAACGCACTTTGTTTTGCATTTGTTGTACATCTAAAAATTCGGAAAGCAATAGATCACAAGCAATTACTTTGGGGAGACATTGTTCTAAAAATATCGCCTTCAAACGAAGAATATCTGTGCTACGAACCTCTCTCTGGATACGAATACTGTCGTCTGCCACTGAAAGGCATTTCCGGTTACAGGGTTCTCGGGCAAAGCCCAGAAACGTCCCTTTGGGACCCAATATCTATATACAAGCTTTATCGGTTGAAAAGACCCACTAATATGATGACACCTGAGAGTCCTTTTTATCTTGGGATAGCGACACAAATTCATGACTCGCAACAACATCAGTCTTGGTTCAAACCTATAGCAATGGGCGTAAACAAGTTAAACGATCTTGTTAGGATGATCAGAGATATAACAGGAACGCTATGTCAAAGTCCTTCCTACCAGTATGACGTGTATGTAGCAACAGATAGAGCACGAGATGCGTCGGAAGCAGACGACGACATGCGCAGTTCTCATGAAAGTGAAAGTTCCGCTTCTCTAAATAAAGCTCAGAATTCAGCAGACGACAACGAAATGACGCTTCAAGACAGCGATGACAAGATTTTAGAATGCGACCGAAGTGTGCGAGCCCGAAGTGATGAAGTAAAATGTAAAACAAGCATTGACGGCGATGAAAACGGTAAACACATATCATTTACAAAATAAAATCTTATCATAAAAAATGATCTAAAAATTGAGTTATTATAAAATGTATTTGAAACAAAACCTTATATTATACAGGATATGTTCTATGAAAGTCTTTATATATCAATGCAATTGTTTAATGATTTATTTCAAGTTCAACGGTTTGTGTTTCATCGTTTCTTTCAATGCGTCGTTCCATAGATGAAAATTTCTCCCTGTTTAATTGAGATATTACTGATGTTCGAGATTTTTTCCAAACTTTCGCTTCACGTTTAACATGGTCACACAGAGATAACGTTATCATAGAGAGATGATAAGCTGTGACCAATATATCTGTATTTGTATTCCTGCCTATGGGAATAAATGTCGTGATATCAGACTGTTCCGGCTAGATATAGTAACGTCTATTCCTCAATGATATCTAATTATCTATCATATCGAGCACTCAGTTACTTATCCTAAGTTCATGAAGCTATTACACTTATGCGTTCATATCTTTGTATGACTTTGTTCAAGTTTGTACAAGCTTGCGCAATAGCTGTAAAAGAAAAGTCTGTGTGCATGTATGATATGTTTTTTTAGAATTTATCACATGCAACTTATTTTCTGCGGTAACATTCAAAACTAACTATATGAATATATAAGTAGTGTCGTAGTTTTATCTATGCTCGGCCCCGGAATGAACCATGTGTCAGCGTCCATATCGGTCCACTGTAGAAGTCATATCGGGGACTTCTTTTCAAGCTGAGTCTTCCTTGACCAGTCTTCATTTGTTGATGGTGAGTGGAGGATTCGGCAATACTGCCAATGCATCACGTTTCTTGGCGGCAACAAACAAAAACGGTCTTGTTAGTGCTACCCTCTCGAGTTAGTCACACAGGTCAACCAATTGTCTATGGTACTTGTGACTTGACCTTGACCTGCCGTTTGCCTTCCCGACGTGCACGCCTCGGGAGGGATCTGGAGAAGACTATCTGAATTACGCTATGCATTTCTTTTTGCAGTAAAGCCCAACTATGATCGCGCATGCGCAAAATATTACTTAAATTACAAGGGGTGTTTCTCTGTAAACATAAAACATATCACCAGCACATGAGTTTAAGTTACCAGAACATGACTGCGTTGCTTAAACTTTGCATTTACATCCTAGAGTAAAACATTACCATAATAAAACTTAAAACAACATTAGAAGTTTGTTCTGAATTTTATTTTTTTATTAATTTGTAAGTCATTATTCTGCCAATAATAATCTGGATATTGTATCTTTTTTCCAGATAATGATGGGCCACTGATTGACACAGAAGTTCTAGAGGATGCAAAGAAGAAAATTCAATCCGTTTTAGATGACCTGGTACCAAAGACGAGGTCTGAAATCATGAAGTGGTTAAAAAATATCGTTTACTCGTCAGGTAAGTTGTTGGTAGTCCGTTTTTAGAATTACTAAAAAAACTGTTATAATATGTTGTTCTCAACTATGAAATATTTGGTGTTTGTGCATTAACTGTCTGAATGTTTTGTAGAGATATGTGTTTACTTCCTATAGGGCACGGAGGCAGTGAGTGTCGGCAGAAAGATTCGAGAAAACGTATCCTACTGACATTTGAACTGGATAATGCAGAGCTAGAGAAATGCGGCACTGTTGAAAAGAAGGCCAAACTTGAGGTCGGTAGAAAATGGCACTGTTAATGTTCTATGGTGACTGTGTTTAAATGTTGAATTCTGCTTAAGCCGGTGTTAGGGGCCGTGGGCGGTAACTTGCAATTTCCAGTACCGTTCATGAACAGGCTCACCGCAACATTTTCAATTTTGTCGTTTTGGGCGTTCTTGAGCGATTCTGTTTGTCTCTATTTTAAACTCAGATAACCCTCAGATCATCATTTCAATTTAAATAAAAAAAATTTACCTCCCCCAAGCTAGTTGTATATCTTCCAAACATTAAGAAATTCACCTTAAAGCTAGTGGAGGATATGAACTGTAGAAAAAAGCAGATAATTGTTCAAGAACCAAAACTTACTTGAGTTTGTTTTTTGCTCTATGTAGTAGTTATGTCTGTGTGGTCAACTTAAATCAAATGTAAGAAAGTAATACCTCTTATAATGAATATCGTAAAGAGATGCAAATACACTTATTTATCTATACCCATCCATTATTGGATAAGAGCATGTTTTTTCATTCATTTGAACAATTACTTGTTTTAGGTCAGTGCTGGATTTGAAGAAGACAACAAGAAACATGAAAAGGAACAGCTGATAACTAGCCGCTCGCCAGACGAAGACTCTGCAGATGTACAAGTATTATATAAATCATCCGAAAAAGAGACAGCCCAGTCATCTTTGTTAGACCAATCCGACCGCTTACATAGGTTACGCCAGACATTCTTTAAGCGCGCTCTTTCATATCCAAATGACCTCAAAGACGCCAAAATACCAAAAATACAAGAAAAGTCACAGTTCGATGATTCTTGCACTCTTCAACATGACTCGAAAGATTATGTTGAAGCGGCTGCGGCAGAACGGCAGACAAACGTCACAACCACTTCCGTGAATACTGCTGACACAAGCACGCCAGAATATAACTCAGATACAAGCAGTCCCGACCATTCTAGTAAAATAAATCACCCAGACACAATACATCATGTACAAGGTTACAATCCATACACCGCCTGGGCACTCGATCCGAGATTTGCAATGTTTATGAGGAATGGCTTCATGCAGACATACCAGGACTTTGTCAGCTTGTACAGTCACCAGGAGCATAAAGATGCTTGACAAACAGTTTTAATTTGGCTTCACATTACCACTCATTAATAAATCTAATTAACTTAACAAATTGTTTTAAAAAAGAAGAAAAGAACTGTCAACAGACTGGTACAATGTATATTAAATTTGTTTTTGGAATGTTCGGTTCCGCACAATAGGTTTGGATTCAGGACTACATCGACCAAATACTAGATATTGTATCAGTCACATGTACGGTCAGCTTTCCAGCGCCAAGGAATAGCGAGGACGTAACAAACCCTTTATACATGTATAATATTGTTTCCGCTTAAAACCACTGACCTCCAGATGGTAAAAAAAATGAAAAAAGAATTTCAAGTAAACGGTAAATACTGATCTAGTTAGGTTTATTGTATAAATCCATCATTACTGACACCTTAAATCAAGAAAGAATGTTGACAAAAGCGTTAATATATCGGGGTTTTCTTTTCCATAATCTACTACGTTACTAACGCAGTAGCCAATATCAAACACAAGTTTGCTTCTTTAAAAAGAAGCATGCGAGAGGTCTTTTTACAGCTGTTGAAGATTTGTTAGATTGTTCAAATGACAGGAAAGTAAGAACTTCTAATAAGTCGAATGGAATCTGCGAACCAAAGCAACATATCGGCTATTTCCGTCAGTCTATAATCGGCGAGGTGTTCAGAAAAATTTCCATACACGGTTCATTAGGTCATAAAATAGTGCTTGGCTATTTTGTTACGAAATTACTCTGTTTTAACAGAAATCGGTCTAAAACACGTTTTCATCATCTTGTATAGATTAAGTCCAAGTGAAAGCATGATTATAAAATCAATTAAAATAAAATTATGCATCACAATTATATACTAGCAACAGTCTAAGGTAAATTTAACACTTAAACTACAACAACTCAACTCGACAACAACCACTCTTCAACTCCAATAAACTCAAAGAACCCCCAACAAAAAGCTCATGCAGCTAGCGTTATTTATGTGCAAAAGTTGACTTGCGCGCAACCCACTTGCGGAAACAAGTCTGCACGGTTCCTTGCACGACCTGAAGAGCGAGGCTAAGAGCGAGGTTTGGTGCACCATTAACCGGTTTAAACTCCCCAGCAGTCATTATTATGCTGCTGACCGTTCCAAGGCGGCGCCCCACTGTGTTCCTCAGATGTATGTCTATGTTGTTTCATACTGTTTTGGTGACACTTTTGCTTGTGTCCCTTGTTGTTTTCTCGTCTACGGTAAGTATCTTCCCCATTGCCTCTAGTTTTTATTTCTTTGATTAACCCCCCCCCCCCCCTCCCCCGGTCTCCTGTCCCCTTCCCCTTTGTGGGCCTATTATTATTTTCTTTGAATTCCTAATCAGTTACAAATTATTTATCATTTATTGATTAACGTGTCGTTGCCCTGTCCTTTTTATGTTTGGGGTCCGCCTGGGCTCCTTGCCATTGGTTCTTGTTGCTGGGTCATATGGGGGTTGCGTTCATTGAACGCCGCCTTTCCTTGTTGATCTTGTTTTTCATATATTATATACTGAATGCTGCGCGTGCTAAAATGCCTTAACAATGTTCAAAATGACGCAATATATAGACTGTTGTGTAATACAAACATAAGTACAATACATCAATAGCATAACATTTGTTCGACATTGCATCTTACAAATTCGTAGTATATATAGATCTACAGATACTACAAGTAATATTGATGAATTGATGAAAAAGAATTGGGTCCGAAGTTTAAAAACCCAATGAACGATGAACTTCATTGTTTGTTTTTTTATTCAAAATTGAAATCTGACCTTTTGCATGTTTTGCATGTTTTGATTTTGCAGTGAAGTTTTGCATAAAACGGTGCAACTTAGTGCAAAAAGTTTATATATTTGTACTTTTTATGGTATACAAGATTGATACAGTAACTTTGACTAACTATTCTATAAATTTGTCAACAGCAGAAAAATAAACTGAGAAAATCCCCTTTATAACTTTTTGTGTTTATTTTTTTTGTCTGTCTTTAAGTGAAGAAAGCTATATAGATTCTACTTCTAACTAGTGTTTGCTATCTGTTCTTCACAAAATAATTGTTTGAATTTTGAAAAAAGAATCATTTCAAAATGATAATATGAAAGAAATGTGTTTGTATATTTCATTATTAAGGACGGAGCATGCATGAAATTATTGCCAAACCTCTAAAAAAAACAGCAAACTATTTTGTCCCGGAACACTTCTGTATAAATACCATATCCATGTGGCTTTAACAAAAGGGTCATTGTTTGTTACAACTCCTTCAACATTCGATCATAAGATGATAAAAACAACATTATTTTATAGTTTATATATTATTAAAATAGTTCCTTAGATATACCTTTAAATTTTAAACTTTTAATTGTTGTTACTGCCGTAATACTGTTTCATGTCAATGAAGAAAATAAAAAAACAATTTAAGGATTACTTTGTCCTGAAAAGGCAAGGCAACATTTTATTTACCAGTTCTGTTTTCATTGCAATATTTTGCTTTTTGTGTAGGAATATTTGATAAAAAGACACCCGAAAGTAGCTGGATTTTCTTTGAAAACTTTCCTTTTCAATAAAGATTGGGGTGTGTCGGGGAGGAAGAATGGCTCAGATGTCGTGAAGTTCATACAAAGAACAAGTGCACTTACAGGGACACGTGCTCGTGCAAAGAATATCCTCATTCCGTCACGTGTTGCTGTTGACAGAAAACTCTATACACACGAGTTTAACCCTATCACAGGATATAAAAGGTACATAGAAGTTATTAATTCATATAAACTGTTTACAACAGCAACGCTTATGACTATGTCATGACATTTAAAGACAGTAATGGTTACAGTAATCTTGAATGTATCCGAATGTGTAAAATATTTGAGGAAAAAGATGATATTCCGTTGACAGCGGTTGCATTATGTCTAGGGTATTGTTTTACACCAGAAATGGTAAATTAACAATCCTAACTCGCTTAACACTATTCCCCTATCAAACAGATAGGCAAGTTAAGTGCATAATTACACGATATATATGAACACCATAAAAAGGAACGCTGAAACGACCTCAAAGGACGTCAGATATGACGTCAATTGACCAAATCACGTCAAGACAATTACTTCTACATTCAATGTAGTTCAACATATTTTTATCCATTTTTTCTTTTGTTAGCATGTTAGAATGGAAATATATATTATTTTTTCTTGCATTGTTGAATTACAATGCACGGTTTATCGTTCAAATGCTTTGTTATTAATCACTAAGGTCTATGGGGTTTGTGAATGTATTCCTACGCATTTGAACTCCAATCGTGCATTATTCTACAAAAATGCACTCAAAATTGATATCTATTTCCTTATCAAACACTGATTAAAAGACACTTGTGTTTTTTTCTTTTCAGGTATACAGTTAATGAATCAACACTTGCACTCAATCACTACCGCGTATGTTACGACAACATTAAACAAATATGTGATAAACGAAAAAGCGTCACAGACGTTGTCATACTAAAAGTGATGGACAAAATACGAAACAGAACGCGCAATATGATTTGATTAATGAAGTTGGAAAAAACTAACTACAAGGAAATGTTTTGATCTTTGAACTCTGTCATCATGAGAAAATGGTGGAATTGGAAAGAGAGACATACTGTACATGTTTGAGAGTTCACGGGGTTATATACAAATGCACAATGAAATGTCCAATTGTATTGTTACCTATGAAATATTATCCATTAATGAAATCTTTTGAAGAATTGTTACACTACAATAAACAATGCTTCAAAACTGTGCGATGTTTGACATGTCAGATAGGATGTTTATATACATATATAGAGGATATTAAATAAGTGTAAGTTCAATACTGAATTTATTGCACGAGTTGAATAAAATTATATTATGCGAGCCTCTGGCGAGCATAATATTATTTTATTCAACGAGTTCAATAAATTCAGTAATGAATATGCACGAAATTAATATTCTATTTATAACATACCCCCCAAAAAGTCTTAACACTATGTTTGTATAACGTCAAAATATATGCACGGTCGTGCAACACCATTTTTACGGAGTCGCAAAACCGACACGGGTGTGTGATAAATATATACTAGTATATCTTTTTTTATTGGGTTATACGTCACACAGACATACGTATAGGTCATATTACGACTTGAAGTCTACGTCTTTAACCACTCGGCAACGGACGCTTCTCTAATATAATAAATTACATGTATTTCGATTTAAAGATTGTCGTCATAACTGCCAGAAATATACAATACAGTTTAAACATAAGTGTTGTTCTAAAGAGCATACATAATCAGATGAAAGTATAGTTTCATGCATATATTTTCAATGTTTTAATAATGATGATTCATATATGCTGGGATTGACAAATCTACAGTGTACGTTTGGAGCCCCACATCCCAAGTGTGGTGTTTCATATGTGGGCACAAGTTCAGCCTTTGTAATACAAGAGCCGTTTGAACCGGGTTATGCTCCCCGAACAGGTTTTGGACACAGAGTAACTACTTCTATCTCTAGTAACTTCAGGGTTATGTCCCGGACAAAGTTCACAGTGTAAAAACGAACAAAGGACAATAACTCTAATATTAGGCAAGGCAGAGTTACGTTTTTATGCATTGCACTCCTACTAAATGAAATCTTTTTACGTACAAAATTTTGTGTTGATAAAGTTTAAAGTGTAAAAAGAATAAAGGGTAATAACTCCAAAATTAGGCAAGGAAGAATAACGGTTCTTTTGCTCATCGACACAATGAGGTATTTCTACCTACAAAGTTTATTGTTGATATCTCTTATAGTTTCAAACTTTCAATGTCATGCCCCGGCCAAGAAAAGGGGACGGACGGACAGACAGACAAAACGATGACTATATGTCCCTCTGGGAGCATAAAAAGGTTTCATAAATCAAAATAAAGTGAGAAGTTTAGTAATGACTGGTGTAGGCCATCCCGCACAGCATAGCTGTTGCGTTAACCTCTTAACTACCTGGTTAAGTATCCGCCTTGTAATGGAAGGGTCCGTAGTTCAAATCCCAGTCAGTGAATTTTTGAGGTTTTCGATACGACAATAAGCTGGCTATACCGAATATGACGGAAAGCTGAAAAGGTGCTGAGCCCTCTTACAGAGATTTCATGAATCTATCAATGTATGAAGCCGTCGTAAGTTGTAGAGCAGACTATTAAAACCATCGAGAAGTCGAAAGTGGGTATTTAGATGGACATTAAAATTTATTGGTAACGCTTGTGAACATGGTAAAACAACACCGGCTATTAATATTAAACCGTGAAACACATCCAAGTGTGTTTTAACCCGTATTTTACTGGTAATATCCGTATTTTACAGTGTATAAACCTGGAATACTGTGTTGTAAAATATTCTACTTTATGTTGAAGGTGTGTAGTTAATTCAGAGAAGTAATAATTACAGCATATTTCCGTGATCCAAGTTCCATGATATTTATGCTTGCATATTTATTTTTTTGTCAATAGATTCAACTTGAAACAAAGCAAAATAAATAAATAAAATAAAAACATTCCCTTTTTATTGTCATTTATCAGATACATTTTAGAATAACACTTTTTAACTTGTTTGGTAACTGCTAGTAGCGTCCGTGGCCGAGTGGTTAAGGTCGTTGACTTCAAACGACATGCCCCATACTGCTGTTGGACTTTGGATTCTTTCTAAAGCTATCCAGCTACCTTACGGAACGTCGGTGGTTCTAATAACGCTCGGTTCGTCACAGAAATGTCTGGTGGGTGGTTTGTGCCATTCGTGTTTTCGCCCCGCGACCCCGCCCCGAAAAAGTCGAGAATTATTAATAAGTTAAAACGGCGGGGTCGCGGGACGAAAACACGCTAATTAGCGGGAGCGCGGGGCGAAATTTAAAAAATAAAACTTCGCCCCATAAAGTCGCGAGGTGAGATTTAAGAAATAATA